GATACGAGTGATGTAGACATTCTGATGGGGACCTTCACAAAGTCATTTGGCGCCAATGGGGGCTACATTGCCGCTGATAAGGCGATGATTGACAAACTCCGTGCGACCAATTCCGGTATTTTCTACGGCGAGGCGCCAGCTCCTGCTATTCTGGCACAAATCTCTTCCGCCCTCCGCATCATCAACGGCGAGATCGTTCCGGGCCAGGGTGAAGAGCGGTTGCAGCGTTTGGCCTTCAACTCTCGATATCTTCGTCTCGGGTTGAAGCGTCTTGGCTTTATAGTGTATGGCCACGACGATTCGCCAATCATTCCTGTCCTTCTTTTCAACCCTGCCAAGATGCCCGCCTTCTCCCACGAGATGCTAAGACGAAAAATCTCCGTCGTCGTTGTCGGATACCCCGCCACGCCTCTGGTATCCTCTCGGGCTCGTTTCTGCGTTTCTGCCGCGCATACCAAGGAAGACCTTGACCGTGTCCTGACTGCCTGCGACGAGATTGGCAATGTCCTGCAATTGAAGTTTTCGACCGGGATTGCCGGAGGCGCTCTACCTCCCGATGAAGGCATGAGCCATCCTCCTGAGAAGGAGACAGAATTGCGGCGCAAGCGGTCCGCGAGGACTGTGCCTCCTCGTTGGCGTATCGAGGACGTCATCAGACGGGGTGTACAAGACGTCCAATCACCACTGTACTAACTGCTTTTGTGACGAGTCACGAAGTTCGAGGGCAAATTGTGCCCATACTGGCTTACTTTCCTACGCGAGATCAAAGCATGTCACTTGATTATGCGATGTTGTCGAATCGTGCGTGGGATAAGCTACCGTCAATGACCCGGATTCGGTGATGCTGGTCATGCCGCGTCGCAAGATTATTCAGCACTTCTTGCCCTGTAACATTAGACGGTTCACTTCAATCGTCTGTTGATCTTTTGCTCTGTCCATGAAGAGTGTCTGGTTTGAAAACAAAGTCACGAGTACCTGAACAATGAACGAATACGCCTCTGCGGAGCCTACGATGACCTAGCAACTTCTACCTTCTTCTTCGGCGAACATCTCTGTCGTTCCCACTGATGGACGACATGGAGATACCCGCCGCTTGCTTTTAATCATTATTTTTCTAACTTCTATTCTTTCATTGTTCAACCTTTTTAGACCACATATCAATGTTTCCGGTCTTGCCCACCAAGTGCTGGAGGGTTCGAATTGGGGCTGGCTCTTAATTGTGCATGATTTTGCGGCCCAGGGCTTGAACCTTGAGGAGGTTGATGAAAGTGGACTTGCTGAGAGAGATTGCTTGGGCGGAAGTGTACCTAAATGTTTATAGTTAGATGATTGTTAATATATTCTTTTTTACATAATGGCAATATGTGCACAAGTGAAAGCCTGTCCTGCCAGCTAGCATCCTAGAACCGCGTCATTAGAAAAGTCAAGATCTATTGCCATCACTGAATAGTCTAAAGACCCTATATCACAGCTTAGTGTACTATGCATAGCATGATGTATAAACATGACTAGACCGCAGAGTTGTGCTGATAGCACAGGGAGTATCTAAGCAAAAGCTCGCGAGTCGCCTTGGTTGAAGAGTAGGTGACGGTGAGGAAACGCCATTGCAAAATGACAAAAGTGGAACAAGGTGTATGCACATGCATCATGCCGTCAGAAACGGCCAGTCATGACGATGATCCATCTATTCGTGTACGTCCGAAAAAAACCCCATGCCCAAAATGCAACGCCAAAGACAAGATGGCGAGAAAATGCGAAACACAAGGGAACAAATGAGGTGTACTCCTCCATGAAGCATAATGGTCATCAAGGCATAGAAACATGCACGCTCTGTCGCATGAAAAAAGGAACAAGATATCGGTAACATGAAGCAGAGGGAGCCGCAATGATCTAAACAGTGCCGTATCTCTCTCGCTCTCCGTGCAGGAGCGCCTGGCTTTCCTGCACAGAGGTATCGTGGAATTCGCGCTGAGGGGAGACAGAAGGGATCCAGCCCCTCATCCAGCCCCGGACGCGAGTCCACCTGCTCCCCCTTTCTGGGTCCACGATGCGAACAACCTGTTCTTCGTCATGGACGCGGTACATGAGGAACTGCAGGCCCATGCAGCCGTCGAGAAAGAGGACGCCAAAGGCGCCGAGGAAGAAAGGGATGGAGAGGCCCACCCATTCCAGGCGGTTGTTGCCGTCTGCGCCTGCCCATCCGCCGCCTCCCCATGGGGGGAAGTCGAACCATGCGTTGGGATTGGTTGCGAGCGAGGCGGAGTAGAAGAGGTTACCGCAGAAGGCGGCCATGAAGAGTAAGGGGGAAAGCCCTGCGGTGCTTTTGCGGCGGTAGTTCTTAATGAGTTGAGGGGGGCGTGAGCCGAGGTAGAGGACCGTTGAGATCCAGGAGGAAATTCGGCCAATCAGCTCGAGGGTGGTGTGTTCTGAAGCCGCGGGGGCGGAGTCGAGTTCGGTGGGCTGTGCGTTGGCTACGACGGCGCAGAGCATCGATGCTAGGAGCAGAGTGCGCGTGGAGGCGAGTGGCAGGCTGGGACCACTGGCTGATCTGGTGATCGTGCGACGAGAGGAGCTCAGCTTCTCGTTAGTGTATAGTGGCGGCTGGCTGCCCATCGCCAAGGGCAACGATTTCTTGAGGAGATCCGCATCCTTAGTGGCTGAGTCTTCCGTTGTGGCCTTTTGTCGTGAGACGTCAGTGATCGAATCCTCCTCTGACATCGGCACTCCCTCAAGGAACGCTCCGGTGTCTTCGCCATGGTGGGAGTGAGAGTAGTCACGATACGCATCCCTTCTGCCTTTGTAGTGCGTATACCAAAAGAACTGGAACACTAGGGTAACGTCCACCAAGACGTAGTAGGCGGCTATGATCACTTGCCAGGCTGCCTGCCGGGTAAGCAGAGCACCCACAAGGTTACCCGTATCACCAAGACACCATTCGACGAGAAAGAACAAGGACAAGCCGGACGTTGACTGCAACTGGTAGTTCTTGTATATTTGTGGAAGCTGTGCAAAAAGCCATGATATGATGCTGAGCGTTCCGAGTATCGACGATAAGAGCGCAAGAGGCGTGGGAAGGCAGATATGCAACTGGGACGAAATGGCGGCTAGGAATGGTGACGAGGGCTCACAGTGTGCTGGAAGAGCGGCTGGCAAGACATTGTATAATAACGGAGGAGGCATACTGAGTTACTCTATTCAACTCAAAGACACCCTCTTGCTGGCGTTAGGGTGCCTGCTGCGTCCCAATCAGTGGGGGGAGATTCTGGGGAAGTACACGGGAAAGGGTAAAGCGGATCGGGAAAGATGTCTTTCGACAACATGAACAACAAAGAGTAATACGATATGTTCTCTTCTCCCTGGGGATTTTTGACAGAAATAAAAGATCCAGGTTGGTAGAAAAGGATATCGTCGAGTGAAGGAGTGAAGTAATCAGGGCTGTGTGTGTTGTCTTTCCCTTTGGGGGAGTCACACTCCCCCTTCAAGTATGGGTCACGAGTCACTCATTGTGGGCTCAGCTGAGAGAGATCGACCACTTGCACTGATACGGACACAAATGAATCACACCCCACGGGCTGATAATTAGCAGATAGATAGTCCCGTCTATCCTCAGCTGCGGATAGATAACTCCTGATCTGTATCGGCATATCCTGCTGATTTCATTGGCTGCTTCACCTCAATCCACCGCCGCATTCGGACTAGGATGAGGTCACTGGACCAGGTTGACTAACACCCCTTCGTAAGATAAGTGATCACGTGCCATCGTTCGATACAACATCACAATCTTCGTCCTCCTGTTGATAAGAGTCTGGCTAGAGTCTGGCTAGAGTCGGGCTTCGGTCTGGTACGGTCCCTATCATGCTCGTTTACGCGAATCAAAGCCTAATGAGATGAATGCCTTTTCAGTGCTGTTAAAATCAATCATCCATTCATGACATCCAGGTCAGGGTTAACACTCAACAGCAGCACTCCTTTCTGGAGCTGATTCTCATCGTATTGGATTCATTCTTCTGCGTACCAAAGCATCCATTTCGAGACCAATATTGCCTCAGGATGCTCAATCCATTGCCACAAGTATCAAGTATGTGCACTCAGCGTGACTTTCGGGGTACCATCAGGGAACCACTTTGAAGCAGTGGTATACCTCTGGAGTGGACTAAAGGATCAACTCAAAATGCGAAGGACTCTTCAACTCCGACGGTCAATCTCCATGTCACTTGCTTGGGAGCCTGGAGTGGCTTGAGGGCAATATTTGCAGTTCCCTATCCTCTGCCAGGCATGTCAAGCAGCCATTTATCAAGCACAGAGCCTGCTACAAACATGCAGGGCATGACTGCACAGCTGATCTCTCGGGAGCAGAATAAACAATCCATGTGCTACTGCATAGGAAACATGAGCGAACCGAAAACGCAAGCAAGGACATGATGGAAAGTAGCTACAACGAACGAAGACCGTTCTTATGGCAGAATAAATCAAAACCATCTGCATTACCTCATACCAGGCTTATCGCTCCCCACAGGGAACGCAAGCGTCAGGATTCAGGAGCCACCGCTGTGAGTACTATGTCTCGAGCCGCTCCGATGATGCCGATGGCCATGGTGGTGATGACTGTGATGCCCATGATCATGATCATGATGATGGTGACGATGGCGATGGCGCTTATGATGGTCATCTCCATGCTTCCTATGTTCCTTGACTTGATCCCCCAGAAAATTCCCTAATAGCGCACCACCTAAAGCACCGAGGAGACCATGCTCCTGTTTGTGTCCCAGATAGTATCCAGACGCACCCCCCAGCAACGTTCCCGCGAGGTCACGATCCTTCCTAGATGACCCAGATCTAGATCTAGACCTAGACCGCGATTTGGATCTAGCCTTCATCGCGCTACTGGACGCGCGGGATCGGCTGCGCCGTGATCGGGAAACATCTCTGTGTTCATCAAGATGCTGATTACTGTAAGGTATTAGTCGAAAATCGAATCAGATGACGGGGAAGGTGTCATACTAATACTCAGCGTTGCTGCCCTGGCGACCTCTAGCTTCGTAGTTTCCGGGCGCATGCTGGTACCCCAGCGCATCAGACGGGCTCAGAAAATCCCTCTGCGGCTGCTGCTGAGGCTGTGGCTCGAATGACCCGCGCTGATACTGTTGCGGTTGCTGGCTCAAATCATGCTGGGAACTGTAGGCACCCGTATACTGATCAAGCTGCCCGGGCTGCCCATATGGTTGTTGAGGTCCATAATCATGCGGGGCGTCCTGGGGCGCATAGAATGCCCCGCCGCTAGGGTTTGGAGCTGGAGCGTTATAAGGTGGGTACTGGCCATATGGGTCCGACATCTTCGAGGCTTGAAAACTTGCTAGAAGCGCTAGAAGCAAATGGCTCCGTCCAGAGTGGGAGTAATTGCAATTCAAGAAGGAACGGGCTGAATGATGTCAGACCATGCTTTATAACGAAAGATTCGATCAAGCATGGATCGGCTGTCTCGTGCGGCTGGGGTGTAAGCTGTATGACTGCGTCGGCACCAGATGACCTTCCCGCGCGACATCATCCGGTCACGGTACTGGGGTATTCCATATAACTCAAGGAGACCCTCGAAGTATGTGCTTAATAAGGTTGTCAAAGCGACAAAGTCTAGAAGAATTAAAAATGACGATATCAAGACAAAGCGAAGTCGTAGACTGGTAGTGGATCCGCACGGCTTTGTGTACTATCTATGTTATTTGTGGTCATGAACACAGAGCGCATGCCACAGAGCGCTTTGTAGTACAGGTTGGTTTTCTTCATTTATAAGAGATGTCAACTTGGCTGTAGAGGAGAGGAAGCATACACAAGTCGAACGACGAGCACATATATGCCTCGGGGTATCCCAATAGAGGTAAAGCGAGAAAGAAAATCGAGCATAGTAGAGAAAGGACGACATCCCAGCAAACCCAAGGGTAGCTTGTGATAAACTCAGTCGTTCAAGGGGGTAAAAAGAAAAGAAAACAAACAAGCCAGCGGCAAGGGGCTTTCGTGGTCCCTGAAAAGGGATTCACACCAGCGCCCTTTGAGTCGAAGAAGAGAGGGAAAAAGAGTAAGGAAAGGAAAAAGTGTTGAACGAGCCGGTTCAAATTCGGCCAGAATAGAAACGAGCCTGTGTGAAGTATAACTCATGTAATGCGCCCAGCACAATCGAGCATCTGGCCATCAGAAGCATCCCAATACCGAAGTTGGACCATGTATGCATGACCTACAACTATTATACCAACGGAGCAGTCACGACGCTGTAACGCTTACTGTCTTCGAGGCAGTTGCATTTCGCATGCGTCGACCGACCCAGTCAGCTAGCATCATGTCCAACTGGCCGCTCATTTCCTTCAATCTCCTGCTTTCCTCCTTGAAAAGGCTGCCTGTGATTGGATGCTCAGGACCAGCAGGAGGGATGTTCGAACTATCATGCACAATAATGTACAAATCGCGGATGTCGTTCTCATCGTCCAAGTATGACCGCAGACTCGCGTCGCTCCAGGTCGGAGTTTCCGCAGAAAGCCGTTCCATTGGAGAGGCGATTGTATCGATGGCCTTGCTCTCACCGGCGTTTTCGACTGGGGAAATCGGTGGCGAGATTGGGGAGACAGAATAATCATTTGGAGAAGACACATCGGTTTGAAGACCATGTGGCGCACCCGCCTCGACTGGTGACACACTCACAGGTGACTCCGGTCTTCGATCATGATAAGAGCTCTCCTGTTTCTGCGGAGATCTCTGCGGCTGAGATGTCACAGAGGGCTGGAGTGTCACCATCCGATCGTAAGGACTTTGTCTTTCTTCGTGTTGGGATTCAGCGCGATCGATCGTAGCATCCCTTACGATTTCCTCCTCAAGGTCCCGCTTTGCGGATGAATCTATCGCGTCAACAGGAGACAATATGCCTTTTCTCGCGTCCTCAGAAGCACTCGAACGTGTGGGCTGAGGAAGAACGTCATCATCCTCAGAAACAACTTGCCGGATTGTATCAGTCTTTTGTTTTGCCTTTGAGAACGTCTTTTCACCACCTTCGACGGCAACAGGCACATTCGAGCCATGCTGAAACTCTTGTTTGGCGGGCGAGGCGACAGCCGGAGTTTGCTTCTGGAACTTAGTTGTCTGCTTTTGTGCCGGGGTCCCCTTCGCGGGCCGTGACTCAGGGGATGACACGGACTCAGAGGACGTCTTAGGTGTGGGCGACGTTCGAGATAATTCGCCTGAGACCTTTTCTGGCTCCTCAGATTCATCTTCGGTGGATTTGCTCTTCTTATCCTTCCGCTTGAACAGCCCACTCAGCATCCCTGGCTTCTTGTCCTTTCTCTTCTTGTCATCCCTGCCTTTGTCGTTTGCACCCAATGCTTTGTCAATGTTGTCAAAGCTTCCGCGGCCCTTGAGACAATCCCAGCACGGTTAGCATTATTTACGCGCGCAATTTCTCCCTGGATTGACGGATGGATACATACCTCCTTTGTCTCGCTTGAGAGCCCACCACTGCTAACTTCGTCACGAAGCAAATTCGGCGTCAGAGATATCTTCTTAGTCTCAACCGTGTCGTCTTTGAAGAACGAATCCGTGTTCCTCACGGTCCCATTCCGAGATCTGCTGACAGTAGGTTCACCTAGAATGTCGATCAGCAAGGTTCAGGTCCTGTCCAGCAAAACACAGCGAATTCCGCTTACTTGCTGCCTCAAACATCTCCTGGCTCAAGCGCTGCTTCTCGGGACTCGTAGAGCCAGACTGCTGAGTTCCTTCCATGTTTTCCGACTCATCGGTGACCTTGTCGCGATTTGACTTCGGTCTGAGGGGTTCGACGACGATATCATCATTGTGATCATCCTGCAGATCATCTTCATCACGCATAATCTCTCCGCCGTCGATAAGGGAGTCTCCGTCGTCGATTTCATCCTCGGTCGACCAATCGATATCGGACGCTTCAATGTAGGTCGGAGCGGTGAAGGTGACGTTTTTTGCATTCCTGCGGCGCATTGCTTTCTTTAACGGATTTTTGGATTTCTCTGAATTATCACCCAGCATCGTAGCTGACAGCTGCTTCTGTTAGAAAGTCCTATTGCTCAGCGGGCGTCACCTACGTCAACATTTCGATGCTTGTTCAGTCTCGCAAGTCTTTCTGTGGGTGTTTCTATATGCTCAGCCGGTAGATACCCTATCAACTGTCAGAGAACCGTTCTGGGGAGGGCGAAGGAGAAAGTTTACCGATGCTGCCATCCTTCACAATTCGAACGAGCCACCAGTAGCTGTTGCTATCGTCGAGAAGGACCATTGTGTCTCCTTTTGCTGCGTTGGCTTGTCCATCAACGGTGGCGACAAAATTGTGAAGAGCGTAGACGAATTCGAAATCAATATCTTCTACTCGATGTAAGTCATGTGCATCTGGAATTTTAAAGATGTACGAGACACATGGGACATTGCACGACAACAAGAAGAGCAGCGCAATGAACCATCCCGCAAACATCAAAGTCCCAAGGTCCGATACTTACCATCGTCAATTGACGGCGAACTTGAGATTTTGTCCATCAAATCATCATCCAACAGATCGTCACTTTCTTCATCAGCGAGATCGCCTTCTTCTGAGCCATCGCCTCGTCCATGATGGCCTAATCCTGCATCCGCAACGTCTATATTGTCATGAATATCCATTCTATCATGGTAGTGATCAGCACTCGGCTGGCTCTCCTCCAAATCGGGGCCGTGTATCATCTCATTTCTTGCATCTTGATCCGCATGGCGAAGAGTATGTTCCTGATGGGGTGCAAGGCCGCTGCCTGTATTGAAGGAATGCTTCGAATGGTCTTTAGCCGACGGGGCATGGTGATCTTGAAGGTCGAGCGTGTCTACCACGGACGAGTCAGAATCTCAACGGCACCGCTCAGGGAATTCAGTGCGAAGTGATTGTTTCGGCACATACCAGCTCGGACAATTCGAGGTCTTGTCATCTCGGATCTTTCTCGGATATTCGGTCTCTAAGAGAGCGAGGAAATTGTAATGAGAGCACGAAAACTGAAGACTGAGGAGCGACTGAGAAATCAGGCGTCATCGATGTCGCAAGAGAGGGCGAAACAAGATTCGACCCAATACCGACTTGTAAAAACAAAACAAAACAAACAGAACAGAACAAAATGATCGAATTGATAAGGAGACTCTTGTCAATTAGAGACGCAAGGATAAGTGACAAAGAGTCTGACGGTAATCAAAGTGACAGCGCCAGCGAGACTCGGTCAATTCCGCAGTTAGCATCGGCGGAAGGTATCGGTGGTAGACTGTCAAAGAATGGCAATATGACCCGCAAGACAAAAGAAATACTTCCAGAGCGATTCCTGACAAGAACAAGCCAAACTAGGAAGAAAAGAAGAGATATGCAACGCCCGTGGCCGTGTCAATGACCGGGTAGCCCAACGTGTTCCCCGGACTATCAAGACAACGTCCGAAAGGAGGTGTCCAGACTCCAAAACAAGCGCCCCTTGCGCGCGCTTATTGGGATTGGCCTAAGGTGCCTGAGCCAGGCACCTAGCAAGTATTCTCTAACCACGATAGGGTTAGCTCGTCCTTATTTGACCCTAGGGCAAAGGGTCGAGGACGGAGCCCATTTATCAGGTGACATACTGGGGTCTGTGTGATGATAAAACACTGTTCATTGGATGGTGAGTAAATTAGTGTCGATCTGCTACCCCCGCTCACTGTTCACTTTCCGAACCTTTCGCAAGTTGCAACAGTCGTTCCGTCATCACCCGATACACCCATCCTTGTGCATCACTTCCGTCTCAGATTCGACGGAGTTTCAACAATCTTTTCATCCACATCTGTGTGAAGAGGTGACTCATCATCTAATTTTACTCCTCTTTCACTGAGTCTCATTCTTCTGCAAGTGGTACCTCTTCTATTTGAATCGTACCATTATTTTTCTTGATGGTTGCCCCCCAATAGTCGACACTGTTAAACACAACGGACCTTCCAGCCCTCCTCCGTCGACCCTCCCATGTAGTCGCCTCATCGTATCATCGCCAAATTCAGCAACCTCATCACCATTTCAGCTCTTCCACTCATTACGAGTTGTCCTCTTTGGGGGGGCATGGCTCATAAAGAGAGGAACGCATTGGCAGGCTTGAAGATCGAAACTTCCTTTCAGCGACATCAGTGGCAGCGGCCTGAAGGTGGCCGGGGAGCGACGGATGATGGCAGTGGCATCGAGGGCGACCGTACCAACATCTTTCACGATTCTGGCGCGCGCGGTTGCGGTACTGATCAAGACAACAGTATACTGAGTGGTCTTCATTCAGCGACTCCTCCAATCTCGGTACCTCGTCACGATGAT